GGCGGGAGAAGGGCCCCGCCGGGACGCCAGCAGGGGCGGGACGGCCCCAGGGCGGCGGGCGCTGCGAGGCGGAGGAAGGCGGCGCCGGAGCCCCGGAGGAATAAGGCCACGGTCAAGGGCAGAGTCGTGAAGTCGGCGATAGGTGAGTCCCGGTCCGGTTCCGAGGAGGGCAGGGGGAAGCTGCTTTGCCGCCCTCCACAGCCTTCGCACCGGGTCCCCTCGCGGTGTCCCGCAGCCCCCCTCCCTGGTCGCTTGTATCCATCCCTTCCCATCCTCCTGGGTGCCCTTCTGGTGTCCCCTGCTTAAACGCAGCCTGATCTGTGGAAGCACCCCTATCCCTGAGCTGTAATGGGGATACTTTCTTTCTCCCGGGGCCTTGTTGATCCTCCTGTGTCTCTCCTTGCGTGCTGCCTGGATGAGCAGCTGATGTGTCTTGTCCCACTCTGCTCTGACCTAGAGGAGTATCATAAGAAGAAGGCCGTGAATCACTTGAGAGCAAACCTGCAGTACATGCTGAAGGGACGATTTGTTGCAAACAAAACCATCACAGAACAAGTAAGACTGTCACTTCTTTGTTTGGGGGTCTGCTTCTGCTGAGAAACACAGGTGAATGGGAATCATCCCCAGGTCTTCCAGCTTAGACCCTGGGCCTTTGCCTTGACTTGACTTTGACTTGAGTCAAGTCAAGCTTCTGTCTGGAAGTGGCCTTGAGGAATTTTTGTGTGCAAATTTCTGGCAAAGCGACTTACTCAGCTTTAAACTCCTATTAAGTTGTCCCCTACGATGTTCTCTGATACTAGTTAAAATCTACTGACAACTGTTGGCTTTTCTTGATTACCAAAGATATTTCATAGCTTCAGCTGGCAAAGAAGCCCTGGTTCAGACCTTCTCCTTACTGTTGATTGATTTGTCCCTCTCTGTAGCTGGAGGCTGTTTAGCAAGGAACCAGATGTGCTGCTGGCTCATGTAATAGGAATTTCATAGCATCTTGAATGATGTTTCTCATAACCTGAGAATTTAACCACTGGTCTTCCCCAAAAAGTAGTCCCGTGCCGGGATTTGAAGAGAATTGCTGTCACTGCTAGAATCTTGGGCTATTTTTATGACATACGGGCTTTTACTTACATAAACAAACCAAGTGGTTTAGGCCAGTGTTTCTCAGGCTGGAGGTTGTGGAAGGAGGTGATGGTGTATTAGAAAATGCTGAAGGAATTCCACCAACTTGTTGGGTTTTCAGGTTGTCTTGTGGAGAGACAGAATAAAAGGTCATGGTTTCAGAAATGTCTGAATTGAAATCAGTGTTTCTATCTCTGTGACAGTTACCAGAGAGTAGTTTTCATATTTGGCTCCAAATAGTAGGTTGGTATTTGCTGTTGTCCCAGTGACCTGCTTTGGTTAACATCAGTGACTGCCTCTCACTTTTCTTTGGAGGCATTCCAGGATATAGCAGGCTACCAGCAGAATAGCAGGGATGCTGCAGGTGAGCTTGAAAATCACTATTTTGTGCTTTGGTCTGGATAACAATGACTGTTTTTTTTTCCTTTTTTTTATTGTCTGAAGGTTCTTGCTCAGAACAGAGGCAGGAAGTCAAAAGATCAGCCTCCAAAGAAGGCGGCAAAGAAGAAACCCGAGGGCACTGTCTTTACTGAGGAAGATTTCCGTAAATTTGAGAGAGAATACTTTGGGAGACCGTAAACAACATGACACGGATTCTCGCAGCTCCAGTCTTTCTGCAGCTGAGTGTTCAGCACGCAGGACTGGCCATTTCCTCAGCGTGTTTGAGATGAGACACAGGAGACGTGCCTCTGTCAACAAGTGCTTTAATGTGACACTTGCAGAGAAACTCTGCATCTGTGCAGAACTTGTGACTGGCCAGCTAGAGCCATGGAGGTTCTCTTGGCTCTGAGGTGTGTGGTCCTTATAATCTCCAGCCAACGTGTCTTGCATTCTTAGTGTAGAAGGGCGGACCAAGACAAATATAAATCTTGTGCCACTTCCTCAGGATGTAAGGCTGCTGCTACTTGTGTTATTTGGCAGGGAGCATTTAAAGTACCGTATCTGAATGGAGAAATGTTTTGGACCAGCAGTAATAAATCATCGGAAGGGAAGGATGCTTTCAAGAGACTGTTAAACCTGAGTAGCCTTGCAGTTTCTGTTCTTATTACAGCCTCTGTCAGGTTTTTCAGTCATTGCAAAAACTTTGTTATGTGTCGTTTGAGTAAATAATTGTTGCAGACACTGCCTATCTTTGCCTTTGTAATAGTGATTGTTATGACAGGCTACGATTGATGAAGACAAACCGTGTCACTGTTCTAATCCAAGCATCCCTTTCTTTAGGATGACTCAGTTGTGTGAATGGCCTTTCTCTGATTCATGTTGACACGTGTTTAATCTGGCATGCTCAGGCCTTCAAAGAGTGCAGGTTGGAATGGAGATGACTCTTTTGCCTACTCACGGTCTCCTCTCTCCGAGGAAGAGGCCTTACACGGAGGAAGTTGTCCTTTGGATGCTTACACCTGAGCTTCCCACTGAGGTTCAGCCACACTAGGAGGGCACCGCTGCTGGGTGCTGCCAGCTCCTGTAGCCAGGAGGGGTTGTGACCCAGATGTTAGCCTTGGCATGAAGTTAGAATCTGAGCCAGAGGTCGTGGTGCTGCATTGAAGGGAAACTTTTTTCTATTAAATAGACTACTGCTGCAACAAATAGGAAGGCCCAGCAGGTGGGAGTATTGTTCCAGACACTCTTCCTTGCTAAATCACTGTAAATATGCTTCTGTGGAGCTCCTTCCACTGACCTTTCCTGCCCCTTACCTAAGAAAATGGAAAGTGTGTTCCCTTTGGTGGGGGCGGGGGGGGGAAGAGATGAGGAGAAGAACTAATGCCAAGCTTTGGTTAGACTCAGGAGTTGATTACAAGGGGCTTGGCTGACTTGAGCAGCAGTTGCTTAGATGTCAGTACTGGAGGGAATTTGGTATCCCTTCCTTGCCCTCTGGTTATAATTCCTGGTGCCGTCCTCTTAAGTCTGCACCTCCTCTGTTGCGTTCTTTCCCTCTTGTCTGCATGGGAGGGAAAGCCACCCAGATGTATGAGGTCCAGACAGGGGAAATAGTGAACATATTGAAGTATGTGTACTTGAAATTGTGTAACAGCATGTGGGAGGGGATTTCTTGTAATATGATCAAGTTCAACTATCTGCAGCCAAAAGCGGTAAATATAGAACAGTTCAAAGACCAATTTCCTTCTTTTTCAGTTTGTTCTTGCTCCCAAAGTTAAAAAAGACATGTAAAAAAAGAGAATGTTTGCTTCTTAAAAGAATGAAAACACTATTGTTTGAAAAAGTAGTTGAGCAAAACGTGTATGCAGCACGTCTCCCTAAAGCCTCTGTACTCTGCGCCTACTGCAGTGTGTGAGAGCTGGTCTAACACATGCAGCTCTATGTGGAGCTGTCATGGAGACTATTAACAGTGTGAAAAAGCTGGCTGTGCTACAAATGACTTTTGAAAGAGGTGGATTTCTGGATTGTTATTTTGTTTCATGCCCTCATCTTCAGTACTTGGCAGTTCCTTTGACCTCATAGAGGTCCTTCACGTCACCCCCTGCACTTCCTTTACCAGTTCCTCCTACACTCTCTCGTTTCTTGTGGTTGTTCAGCTCCTGGGCCCTTCTTCTGCAGGCTGAGGAAAGCAAAATCATCCTTTGTTCCTCCAGAAAGGATCATTAGGGTAACGCGGTTCACTCTCTTTGTACAAAACCCAGCTTGTTTGCTTGTAAATGTAAGCAAACAGGAAAGCTGCTCTTTCAAAGTTAATGAGGAACTTTAAAGTGCAGCCCAGAGCAGTTCTCCCCAAGGATAACACCCCCACCCCTGTTCTGTGGAGTTTTAAAGTTGGATGGGAGCTCTCTTTACTGGCTGGAAAGACTATTAGGGCCAACACAAGTAATCAACGTACTTCTTGTGGCTATATGCAATGAGGCGTTGTATTGTTGAAGACAGTAAAGGTACCTGACAGACTGGATTTTGCCATCTGAAATCAAACTTTGTTGTACGGCCAACAGTATCCTTAAATAAATTCAACTTTATCTTGCAGGAGGAAAGAAAACCAAGCAGAAGTGAATGGGTGGCCCTAGGTAAACCAGCTTCTGCAAGGGCAAAGATCTGATGTGTTCTAGCCTTGATTTTCCACCTCTCTAGCAGAGCTGGAGCTCCTATGAAAGAACAGCAGTGCCACCTGCACACTGGGTAGATAAGGACAGGAGTCGGCCCCTGAGGGGAATGTCTTCAAGCTAGAGGGGGGAGTAGGTACCAGCCTGTTGCATGTCCCTGGTGGTAAGCTAAAGCTAAGCATCTTCTTACATTTCCAACTGTCTATGTTATGGTCTAGTCATGCCTAGAGCATGCCAGCTCCTCGGTTGTGCTGGGACCCCGGGAGGTGGCTATCTTAGAGCAACTTGTGCCATCTCTCCGTTCCTTGCAGCCAGACTTTGCTGCCCCACAGAAGAGAGAAGAGGGGGTCAGGGAAGGAGCAGCTGCCATAGCTGCTTTTCCTACTCGGCCTCCGACCTCTGGTTCCCATGCTGGAAGCTAACATGCTGCAATCCGCAACCCTTGGACCTGCCGGACGGCATTTCTCTCCCGCGCAGCTGCAAGCGGCGGCGCAGGGAGGCATCCCACTGCTGCGGTGTGAGGGCCGCGTGCTGGCTGAGCTCATCAGGCTGCTGGCTCTCTTCCCAGCTCTGCGACACCAGCTGAGCATCCTGCAGCAGAAAATAGAGGTAGCTGAGCTAGAGAAGAAGGAGGGTGCCATCTTACAGTGCATCCCCACCCACATGCAGCAGGGAGTCTGAATGGGAGGTGGCAGCAGCAGCTTTAATATAAATGCAAATAAAAGCTCTGGAGTGTTATTAATGTGGTAGAACCTTTCCAGGGAAATGGTTTAGAGGAGGCAGAATAGTTCCCAGATGCTCAGTGTTGAGCTAGCTTAATTGTGAATAAGATTCATCAAGCCGGTTAATGGCCTATTGCTCCCTCTGTTATGTGAATGGAAAGCACACAGGAAAATTTGTTTGGACGGGTACAATTTAATGTAATGTAAGCCGATACAGCCTCTGCTGTATCAGCAAGTCTTCACTTCTTTAGTGTAGAAAGCAACAACAGCTAATATCAGCGTTATATGTATATCGGGAAGGGGGAGGACTGCGAATGTAAACCAAGAAAACGTGTTTGCTCAGGACGCTAACCAACTTCTTGGCTCTGAAATGACAGCAGTGACAAACCTGGCTGCGAATGAACAAAGGCAGACTGTAAAACTTGCTCAGGCAAACAGGACTTGAAATGCTGAAAAAGCTGTGGGGGAAAACCAGGGGGGAGGGTCCTAAAAACCTTTGGGAATCTCAGTCTCCGGTTTCTTCTTTATGACTGACTTCCATTTTAGTCTCGCTGATGACCAACACAGCACCAGCACCTACGACACTGACAGGCTCCTGAACGCCTTGGGTAAGGGACTGGTTATTGTAGAAAGGGTGCACAGCAGCAGCACCCTGAATAACTCACAAAAGAATAGCTGCAGCAAAAGGAAGTTTCTCATTTTGAGACAAGAAGACCCATCAATTCAATTAAAAATGAGGAGTGTAAAAGAAGGCAGGCTGCCTAATGCCTGCTTGCAGCTCAAAACGTGGAACTCCAGCCAAGTCAGGCTGAAGGGTTAGTAGGTTTGAGACAGATTAAGATTAAGATTGAGACAGCATGTCTATCCATAGTTACATTAAATAGGATTAACAGTCCCAACCACTAACTGGTGGGGGCAGGGGAAATAAAAAGCCTGAAGGTTGCTCTGCAGCTGTCTACAGGGTTACGTGTACCTTTTTCTGAACGAATTAGCTGTTGGCAGGGCTAACCAGTAATCTAGCCAAGATGGTCTGTCCTAAGCTGCACCGTTTGCGTGCCAGCAAGTTCATGTATCTCCTTTAATGGGAGGCAAAGACTAGGTCTCTTTCTCCACGCGCTGCAATGGAGATGCAGAGGAGTGACAGAACTAGGAGATTCTCTGCCCTATATAAATTAAGCTGACACATCTGTCGCACTTGGAACTCACTCCCTGCCATTTTTTTAAAGGGTGTGTACATGTAAAAGAGAGGAAAAGAGCAGCTGAAGGAGAAATGAGAGGCGACTAGCCATTACTTGGAGAACATGCACCTAAGTAATAGGGAAATTGGAGCTTGCAGGTAGAGCTAGCTTCATTCAGTGGCTTGTGACACTGCATGAGTGCACTGAAAATATTGCAAAGACAGCATACCTGGGATACCTGAGCAGCCAAAATAGTATTGCCTAGGTTGGGGGACCGAACTCCTCTGTTAATTCACAAGGCCCAACTAAACAGCCTGAAGCGTTTCAATGGGAAAGTCAGCAAAGATGAGCTTTTTTGGCCCAGCAAGGGATGCTCGTGGTAAGACCCCAAGACTCTCTTTGCACTGGAACTTAAGTGTAACAAACAGGAGTATATGTGCTGGGCTGCACAGCAAGGCTGGGAATACATCAGGAGGACGGAGGAAGGTAGGTTGTCTCCAGAAGCTACTTGAACTGTATTAAGAAAAAAGTGAGTATACACAAGATTATAAGTATAGGAAGGACAATATAGATCTTGTTGTTTCTGAAGGCCTAAGCCTATGGAAAGATAAAGAAAACTGGTGTTATTCTGACCAAAAACATATAGATTTCCCACCCCAAAAAAAGGCTTTCTGAATTAGAAACACGTTTGGTAAGTGGAGAAGAAGGGTGGCTACACAGCAGTAAGGGTTGAGAAAGCAAGGGACATCTCAAAACAGAGAAAGTATATGGATATGCCAAGAACAGAAGCTGAACCATAGCTAAAAAAAAGGTGAGGCAATACTTAATGAGGCTGTGGGAAAGGCAGGCGAGACAAGGAGTGTATTTTTTTCAAGAGGCATGTGACTCCTTTCTGGAGACAACATGGCTTTGGGGCCGGGGGAGAGGGGGCTGTGACCGGACTACCACTGTGTGAAATTGTTTCGATCAGAATAACCTACATTTTCTTTCTACCAGTCCAGCTCAGCAGCGCTGAGGGACCATTCATCTCCCAAAGGACAGCCTGTCCTTGCAGCTATTTCTGGGCTTTCTGCCAGGGCAAAAGCTGTTTGGAAGATTTTATCGTTGTTCGTTCTTCATTCTCCAAAGCTGCAGCTGGGGATTTATTTTTGTAAGCGCACTGCAAAGGTGCATCTGGTTC